TTTTTATTTTCATTTCCCTTTTTATTTTCCTCTGGCTTTGCGGTGGTGCTTGATTGTTGATTTCCACTCAAAACATCATCCCAAAATTTCCGTTTGACTTCGATTATATCTCGCAGTGAATCGAAGAAATTATTTGCTTCGACCAATGGGAGAGGGACGGCCTGCTTGACCAAATTATTCCCCTACAACCAAATAATATTAATTATAATCCAGTAAATACTCTCCAACTTCCAATATAATAAAATAATTTGAACTTCCAATTATCTAAGTTTAAATTAAATTCCAATTAAAGACACTCACTCCAATTAATTCCCTATTAATTATTCCCAATTAATTAATCGATTAATAATTCAAATGACATCCATAAAATTAAATAATTCCTCGAAGAAGAATTTCTTCTTTAAAAATTTTTAACTTGCACCGGGCAAAATAACAATCTCAATTAATTAATTAATTAATAAGTTTCGTAGATTGAGGGATAGTTATTAAAAAAATTCCTTACGTTTGCGTTTCCATTAAGTTGCGGTGCAGCTTGAACAAAAGTGCAACCAAAAAGTGCAAGACACAAAAATTTGAATACCATTTTCACTTGTTGTTATTCGGATTGAAAAATAATTATTGACAGATCCCTCAAACGATTTCTCTCTATTTATACAAAAATTTATCCATTAGTCTCATCATTCAGTTCATACTTAATAACGCATTAAAATTTTATCGCATACTAATGACAAAAAAATGGTACCTGCCCTGTAAAATATGCCCTCGATAATTTATAATGAAAAACTATTGATCCACGATATAATTATAATTAATTGTTATTTAAAACCAAAGAATTCTCGGTAAAAATTAAAATACCAATTAAATCCCAAATTAAAAATTTTTTCAACCTCATTTATTCAATTTTTTGTTTACAATTATATTACAATAAATCATATTCATTAACTAACAGTAAAAGTAATGAATTAACAACAATAATATTTATTTACAAGTATATAACAATTTTTTTTTCAAATAAAAAATCAGTGGATGTCCGAAAAATATTCTCGGTGTCGGAAAACATTTTTCTTTGGAAAAACAAGTGTTGCCGATGAAGAGCAGATGTGCTTGGTAGGCACAGGAAGTTTAACTTTACAACGAGCCCCAGCTGACCAGCACATTCCACCCAATGGTTCATATACCCATACGAGAAAATGAATCTCCACAAGAAATGAGGGATGAAGCATCTCCACCATCAGTTGAACACGTGTCGCCCCCGAATTCTCCAGAATTTCTACGCCCCTTTGACACTAAGATTATCCTCTCCATCGCACGTTCTAAGAAAACATTTCCCAGAGATTAATTAATTTTGGATATCCCACGAGATTGATCTCATTTGAATTGCAAAAATAATTGCGGGAAAATTCGGGGATTCCCCGGTGTCTGTTTTTTGACATAACCCCTTCGAATTTACCAAAAATAGATAATTGTGGAATTCCGCTGGTGGTATTTTATTTTGTATTATCTTCAACCGTTATAGATATGTTTATTCAGTCTTCTGGACGTTTTAGTCTGTCATTAGCAGGAGTTTATGGGGATTGAGTGTAAGAACACTTGAATCTAATGAATAACGGAGTTGAGTCATAACATCACGATGTTTTGACCCAGTATGCCACTTCCGTCCTTCTCGGTTAATCCTCCTAATGTGCGATAAGAAAATAACCGAAAACATTGAATAAACATGAGATTAACATTCCTGAAGGGAATTTGCTCCTCCAATACCAAAACTCCTTTGAGAATTTACGATTGAAATATCAATTTAAAAAAAAAAACAACAATTCTTTCATTACTGCGCATATCTTCATGAAGATATTGCGCAAAAATGGGCGTAGGGACCACTGCGCAACTTCCGTTGCACGTTTCGTTGCATGAAATTTCGCGCAGACCTCAGAAAATATATACAAAATATCAAATAAATATATTCTTGATAAAAAAAATATAGAGATGGTCGATTCCACATTTTTATTCGATAAGAGATAATCTCGACGTTTTTATAAAATTGATGGGTTCTTTCCGCTCGGCAGCCCTCGAGTTTTTTCAAGACCCTCGAGTGTTTCGGAACCTTTCACCCTACGATGGACACGCAAAGGGAAGAAGAGAGAGCGGTAAAAAAAAAATGGGATGTGTAAAGAGGTGAGATGTGGATGGTGGTGGGGGCGGAGGGAAGCTGACCAGATTGTGAGGGCCCCGGCAGCTGCTGTGACAGCTGCACCCGATGCTCTCTTTCACCCTGACCCCCACTCCTGGTGAAATATAGAGATGAGGCATTTTCAAATACCTCAATTTTTCCAGGTGCACGTTTTATCTGCTACGTGACACTAAAACCCGTCTCTTTGTCCGGTCCGGGACTCAATATGCGTCGCAGATTTCGTCAACCTCCCATGTTTTTTGAAAAATAAATTTTCATACCCATAAATAAATAAATCCCATCACGATGTACCGAAAAGGAACCTTTTCCGCACGCTCTATACCACTCGGGAAAAATCACTTTTCCGCACTAGTTACGAAATATATTATTTCAATCCCGTCAAATTTTGAATCGATCTTATTTTTGTGATGGTATGGAGATGGTGAGGTTGAATAAAAAATTCAAGTATTTGGAAAATTCCTAGAGAAATCCTCGAATCAATAAATCCCGGAGAAATTCCATCGATTTCGTCGGCTTGAGGTACCGTAAAGTCCAGGTATGTGTCGGCATTGAGAGGTGTGTCGAGGTCGAATGGCGTAATTTCAAGACCTGGATTTAGATCCGACGGAACTGCTTGATCCCATATTTATAGCGTTCAATCAATTAAACTTGTCGCTGACAAAAGGTGAAACATTGGGACTTAAATTGTAAGTGGTTCCACGAGGGGCTGTGCACCAGATGGTCCCCAACAGCATATGCTGGTAGAAATGAAATTTAAGGCACCCCAACCTTCAGTTATTGTTAAAGTACATATTGAGATTGATTATTTACTTCTGGCTCATGTGGGACGCAACAAAAACTCGCAGTCCCCGCAATTAAATTAATCCATCGAGACATTTTCATTGGTTGAATAAAAAAAATATCGGATTATATTGAATTATAATAATTATAGGGGAGCATTGGGCCCTGTGGACACCATTTTAAATTAGTCCCACGAAATAAACGTGAATTGTTGTCCCAATTTTATTTGCAAATAAATAATTCAATCGAGATGATGAGTAAAATCAGTTTTCACTGGATATCCCTCAGGTGATAGGAGATGGAAAAATTTTTATAGAAACTTTTTTGTAGGTCTCATTCTGCTCTAGAAGAAAGGTTCTCATAAAAATAATCCAACGGCTCTCAGATTCTGAGATATTCGCGAAAAACCGCGGAGCTCTCACGATGCCAATTCCCCACCCACCAGATTAATTATAATAATCAATTATTTATCAATTTTTTTTCTTCATGAGGATTCCCTAGAGAATTTATTCGAGAATCGAATATTTTTTAATGTCTTCCAGGGAATGAATAGAATTTTTCCCTTGAGAAATTTCAATTGAATTGACATTTTCGGTGTTCATAACTGGGCATTAGTCCATTTACTCATTGTGAATGGTTCTGCTGGTGTGAGTGATGACGAACCCTTGGAGCTGATGGAGTCGTGTGGCCTGTCTCCAGAGTGGGGATAGAATTCTTCACCAGAATTAACAGTCGCCTCTCTCCTCAGCTAGGTCCTGACTGGTGGCTGCGGTTGTTCAGTCAGTGAGAGCAATCCAACCGATACACATCATCCTCCATCAAGTTGAGTCCCAATTTCCCTACCTTTTATTTTTATCATCAAGCCGATGCAATCACCTCGACCGGATACACGCGTTGTCGGAGCGTGAAGCCGCAGTTTCACCAAGTGTTATCATTGATTGTTACCAAGACTTTCTGGAAATTAAATTCCAAGTGGAACGTTTCACCGATTTGTTATCGTTTGGGTCAAGTGTTTGCGGGTGATTATTTGATATGGTGCGAGGATTATCGCAGTGGACCAAGACCCTGAGCTTTCCCGCCAGGGTCTCACCTCAAAGACCAACGAAAGAATCCGCTAAATTTCATCTCAGCCCCAGCTCAAGTCCTGTCTCACCACCCAGTCCTATCAACGATAATATCATGGACAAGACACCAATCATTGCTGACGAGGTTTGTTTATAAGTACCACCATTTTTTTTCCAGTTTGTCTTTTTGTCTAGTCACTAGACTCCAGTAGCTAGGATATCCACCGATGAAACAGGATCGTTACTCTCAATTTATTATCCTAAAAACAATAAATTTCAAACGTGTGAGTGAAATTTTTTCATTCCATGGAATAAATGACAAAAATTGAATAATTAATAAATAAAAAATCTAATTGAGCCTAACCTATCCAATCCTTCTTTTTTAATACTAATATATGAATGCAATAAAGTCAGTTCAGTGCACATAATAAAGGTGAAGCACTGAATAGGAAAATAGAGAAGGATGAGGTGCGGTCTCGTGGATGTAGTGAACCTCTCCTCCTGGTGTGTAGCTGTTTGCCGTAATCCCTCCCGTCGATGTGTAGAGGACTGTAATAATAGTTATTTCTCGTTAGTATATGTGAGAGGGAATGGAAGAGGTAGAGGGAGGTAAATACTTGACGGAAGCGTGGGAACCGAGCGAAACAGATGGCATGAATGTTATCCTCAGGGCCCCAGGGATATTGCAAAAAGGGGACAGCCGATTCTCGAGGCCATCAATTTTCTCCCATGAATCCAGCGATTTTTCCCCAATTTTGCCATTTTTTTTTTATCCAAATATTTAACGTGGGGGAGGGTAATTAGCCCTTGGACTTCTGCTCGTTTCCTGGAGTAACAAAACCTCGTCCTCAGCAGACGGAAGTCGACTTGTATTGTTCCATTCCCCCTTCGGAATTCCATAGCCTGGAACCACCGGGGCATCCGGATAATATTATCCACTCGAAATACTTCAGGATTTCGTGATTATCTTGGGAATCGGTTGGAAATTGTGTTTTTAAAATTTTTTTTAAGGACTTGAGTCACGTCTCTCAAGGTTTAAACAGCCATTGAATCAGATACCGAGAAAAGGGAAATTTTCGTTTAAAAAATCGGTAGATCGGTGACTGATGATCGATGGAAATCCATTGAAATCGGTTTTGAGAATTCAATGAACTCGAAATATTTGGAATAAACATGAACGCAGAAGGTCAGAGAAGTCCCTCGATTTGAATCAATTACCATTAATTTGATTATTGATTTTCTGGTAATCGATTTCTGGAAAAAAGTGATAACAATCAAAAATCGATTTTGTCTGACCTCAATTTCTTGAATTGATTCCATGGAATACCCTGAGTCGACGGAAAAATCGAATCCGAAATGAATTGCACATGAAATTTTTACCGATCACAAGTGGAACGTACCGACCGTTACTCCAAGATGACGTCACATCAGATTCCACGATTGATACAGCAAAATATCGTCTAGTCCCCGCATAAACAAGTCCCAAATATCAAGACCTAAAACGAAAATCGTTGAAATTCCACTCGTAAAATCAAAGATCGGTAAGAGTGAAAGAGAAAATCGGTCAGAAAATGGACACAGTAAAATTTCCTCGACCTTGTGCAACATCGGAGAATGAACCACTCGTCTCCTGGGAATAATCATGATCCTGGAGATGAATCGATTGTTCACTGGTGATCGGTAATTGTTACTGATAACGATTACACTGGATTAAAATAAATAATTGAGTTCCGATTTCGGGTTTCGGTTTCTCAATGGAATTTTCACGTTTTCTTCGTGGATGCCGGTTTTTTTAATCAGCGGTCAACGGTCAGGTTCTACGACCTTGCCGGTCGTGCAGGTTTGCGCCTGTTTCCACCGGTCAAACGGGTATAAACCTGTATTGGGATCTGTCCAGGGATTTATTTTCGCGGACTGCCCCAGGAAAACTCCAGGAAAATTCTCTTCACCCGATTTTCACCGGGAATTACCGATTTTTCGTATTATTTCAATAGCCGTAATTTTACGGAATTCAAAATGGCGATTGAATTAATTAATTACTCCAGAATATAATTAAAAATTCAAATCATTATCATTTAATATTATCTCATTAAAATCCGATTTTTCATTGGATAAACTTTTTATTTAATTCAAATAAATTAGAAAAAAAAAATTGCTAATCAAATTGTTAACGAATTATTTATAACTAAAAATAAAAATGATACCGTAAAATCGATGAATATTAATCGAATTAATTATAAAATGGAGAATTTCTCTTTCGGTCCCGGGAAATTTCGATTTACCGATTTTCATTCCAATTTTCATTTCTAAATGAAAAATATGTTAATAAAAAAAAAAAAAAATACATAATCGTCGAGGAGGTCCGCATAATAATAGGTTTCATTTCTAAAACAGGGACCACCCGCGTGGCACCTCCCGGACCGAATCCCTTATTCTGAAAAAAGATCGAAAAGATCGTATTGTTTATGACAGACACATCTGGGATAATTTTTGTTTCGGAAATTACATGAAGTAATATTTTTTTTTCCAGACATTTCAAGACCTAGAGGCAGAGAAAGCTATTATGGGATCGATTGTTTATTGCATACATCATAAGGACGGCTGCAAGTGGTCGGATGAATTGCGCAAATTGAAGGTAACAATTACAATTACCGATTTCACCTCCAGCTATTGATTTTTCATCCACCAATTTAAATCCCCGCCTCTGCACAATCCCACACTAAATTATAATTACGACCATTATTAATAGATATTACCACGAATAATTGTCTTTATTATTTAATAATAATAATTATTATTATCAATTATTTTGTTGCTTAATTAGAATTTCTGTGTGAAAATTGTGTACGAGTGGATTTCCTCTCAGTTCGTCTCGTTGAATTGAATTGAATTGTTTCCCGATAATTCTTTAATGGATAGTTTATTATTAATTGTTTAAAGGCCCATTTAAACACCTGCAAACACGACGCAGTCCCCTGCAGCAATAAATGCGGTGCAATGATCCCTCGAGTTCTAATGGAGGATCACCTGAAGTACACGTGTGCACAACGTCGTGCACGTTGTGATTTCTGCGCCAAAGAATTCACTGGACAAACCCTGGAGGTATAATTAATAAAACAATCATTAAAAATTTATGCAATCCAATTAAACAATTGATTTACCCCCACAACAAATACCTCCCCTGCATTTCCCCCAATTTTTCTCACAGTTGAAATTCAAATGTCGATTTTTTAAAATTCAAAATTCAAAATTCAAAATTTAAAATTCAAAATTTAAAATTTAAAATTCAAAATTCAAAATTCAAAATTTAAAATTCAAAATTTAAAATTTAAAATTCAAAATTCAAAATTTAAAATTCAAAATTTAAAATTTAAAATTTAAAATTTAAAATTTAAAATTCAAAATTCAAAATTCAAAATTCAAAATTCAAAATTCAAAATTCAAAAAAAAATTAATTAAAAAAAAAATTTTGTAACATCAAAGACGAATAAAAAATAAAAAAAAAAATGGAGAATTGAATTTAATTTCTGATTTAAAATTTCAGAAACACACGGGTACCTGCGGGTACGAGCCCCTCTACTGCGAGAACAAATGCGGAATGAAAATCCAGAGGCGATATTTAAATCAGCACAAACTGGGGGAATGCGCCAAGAGACTGGTGGGTTGTAGATACTGCAGCAAGGAATTTGTCTTCGATACTCTGGGGAATCATCACACAAAATGCGGAAGATTTCCAGTAGCATGTCCCCATCGATGCGAAACAGCAGTGCTACCCCGAGAGGACCTGGAGATTCACCTGAAGGATCACTGCACAACGCACCTCCTCTCCTGCAGTTTCAAAGACGCTGGCTGTAGATTCAAGGTAAATCCCACCATTTTCAAGATCTCCATAGAATTATTCTGTAATTAAATCAAATAATTCTGTACTAACCTACTCCCCGAATCGACAATAAAAATTGAAGACTCATGAACATCTTCTCCAGGGAAATCGTTTTTCACTGGACAAACACATGGAGGAGTCGACGAAGATGCACCTGAGTCTCATGTGCAGTGTAGTAACTAAACAGCAGCACCAAATAACAAGCCTAAAATCAGCGATGGGAAAGCTATCGCTTAATTACACTGGGACATTAATCTGGAAAATCAGTGATTACACAGCAAAAATGTCCGAGGCGAAGACCAAAGAAGGAATGGAACTCATCAGTCCGCCGTTTTACACTAGTCAATACGGATACAAATTGCAGGTAAAAATTACCCACGTCCAGATAATTATCAATTTAATAAATAATAGTCCAATGTTTACCGGGATAAATAAATTATCCCCATCGATAAATTATTTTAAATTCAATGCATACATTGATTTATTTGAATATATTGAATATATTAATAATCAATTGAATATATTAATAATCAATTGGATTTATAAATAAAAAATTGAGACATGTTTTTATTAATGTTTTATTGTTTATCAGGCGTCGATTTTTCTCAATGGAAATGGCACTGGGGAGGGCAGCCACATGTCGATTTATATAAAGATTCTGCCTGGGGAATACGATGCTCTTCTCCGTTGGCCGTTTTCTCATTCCGTGTCGTTCACGATGTTCGATCAGACTGTCCAGGCTGACAAGGCGTGCAACATCGTCGAGAGTTTCATCCCTGATCCGACCTGGAAAAATTTTCAGAGACCGAGTCGAGAGCCCGATTCCCTCGGGTTTGGATTCCCCAGGTTCATCTCCCACGAGATGGTGAAGAAACGACACTTCGTCAAGGACGACACAATGTTTATCAGGGTCAAGGTCGATCCCAGTAAAATTGTGGCTGTTTAAGTGACTCAAATTATCTGTACATTTTTTTTTTCAATTTCTGCATACATTTTGATTTTATCGCAGAAAATATTTCTCTCTCGATGAAAAGATTATTTTGTCGTTACGAAATTATTGTTGATAATTACTTGATGAGGAAATTGTCAGATTCAATTTCTTTTTGAAATCGACCAAATGTAAATATCATTTTCATTACTGTACAGTTTTTTTTATAATAACGATAATTACTTGTGCTAGAATTGATCAAATAGACATGTGATTGAGTGATGCTAGTGACCGTATGTAAAGCGGAATGTAAGATGTAACGTAAGAGACATAAGTTTATTATAAATATAAATAAATTGAATAAAAAATCGAATTATTACTCTCGGTTCTACAATTACTCCAGAATTTCTCGGACACCAATTCCCGAGATTTTTCAAAATAAAATGGACTGATGGCTCCGAAAAAATGTTGACACCCGAATTTAACATCAAAATAATAAACAATTGATTATTTTTTAATTAATTCCCCGAGGGTCCGGATTGATGGCTGTCTTGGAAGGGCTGAGAACGTTTTCCAGTTTCTTCACTCTGGAAATAAAAATTGTAAAATAAATATGATTGTTTGTGGAAAATAGAGAATTAATTAAGTCAGACCATTCGAATCCTCATCAGCTGATCCATGGCGTGGGGCAGGAGGGGTCTTGCTCCATTTAATTCCATTGCTGTTAGATTATTTAACATTGCGTGGACTGCGCTGTGATCTTTAAATAATTCGTCGATGGAAGTTCGTAATTTAGACATTCTCATGTCCCAGATGTCCTTGATGGCTGTTCTTATGTTGTCAACATCAGGAATATCATCGGATGCTGCCCCCAGGAGTATATGGGCCTCGTCCATGTAATGGTCATGTGGCATTTCGGTAAATACTCTGGAGAATCAATTAAATTCTATCTTGTAATTATGTAAAACAAGATGACTGCGGTGAGTTTTTCGGGAATATCTCTGGAACTGACAGAGATCGGGGAATTTTCGAGAAGTCATTTTTTCGAGAGAAAATTGAGAGCTATAAAAAATGTTATGATGCTAATTTTGATGTCTCTCGTCGTTTCGGAGATATTTACGAAAAACTCACCAGGTTGGCTCGACTTGACGATTTTTAGAGTGTTATCTGGTTTCGGGAAATTGTGAATTATTTCGAGGAGGAGTGGTCTGACGAGAAAATGTCATATAACATTTTATGCGGTCAATAAACTTCCGGATAAAAAATTCTTCTGACATTTTTGCGTGGGGTCAGTGCCTACGGAGATAACGTGCAAGGACTCACTTGGACAATTTCTCGTTCTCTTTCAGAAGTTCCAGATTCTCAGGCTCCATCCATTCAGGACAGACTATTCTGCACTTTTGCCTCTGCTTGAGGTTGACGGCTAGCCAAATGGGCACCTTCACCGGGAGTCCAGCCCTAAAGGGCCCAACACTTCCCGAAATCAAGTGAATGGGATCAAAATTAAAATTAGGAACAATACTGACTAGTCCTTTTTCACCGAGAAACTCTATTTCACAGGGTTCCATGCTCAATATTATTTATTCTCCCTTTTCAACAGACAGCATTCGGAGCAATCAACTTGTTGCTGGGAACAGCTGACCGAAATGCGCGCGAAAATTCGCGCCATCTGACATTTCGCGCCACGAATTCAATTCGACTCCAATCGTTTTCCGCGAATTCCTCGGAATTCACGGCGGATTTCGAAATTTTCGTCAGGACCTTTTTCGTCGGGCTCATTAAGGGGTACAAAAAAGGTCATCATAAAAATTTCGCTATGTCCTCTGGATCCAGAGATATTCAGCGAGAACTCAGAAAAAATTGACTGAAGTCTTGAATATTCGAAATTTTGATAATTGAAAATTTTTTTTTTCGGTCAGAATAAAAAAATTCTTGGCGATAATGCAGTTCCACGAAATTTCACTCGTTGGATTCATTATCAGACGGACATCCGGTCGATCTAATCAATTCAAAACTTCCGGTGAATAGGATTTTCTCACATTTTTAATTATCAATTGGGGAATTTCAATTCTTACATTTCTACGTCAAATAAAACGAAACATTTATCCACCATTTTGATTATTAAACCACTAAATTAATTATTCATCAAAAATTAAATCCCCCGATCAAATCAATCGAGCGTGCGACCCAAGCCCCGAAAAACCAAAAAAAAACGCCTCGAAAAACGCGAGAATTTCCAAAAAAAAAAAAAAAATCTCCAACTTCAAATTAATTTACGCCTCGATGATGATCTCCTCATCTTTCACGTAAAGTACATGACTCTCGCCCTTGGTCGTGCTCCGCTCCCCATCCCCAGGACAGGCCCCACCCCGAGGACAGGCCCCAGGAGCCGGTGTCACAGGTCCAGGGACCGGTGAACCCCCAACGATTTTTCTCTGCGAGGAAATCCCCACCCCTCTCCCCCCACCGCTGTTTCTCCCGGGGAAAAAGAGCCCCCAGGTGATGGCCTTCAACGCCGCCCTGAAGTCCTTCAAATGATACGCGTAGAGTATGGGATTTCCCACGGAATTGACGTGTGACAAAATGATACTGAAGTTGAGAATAAAATCATTGACGTAGCAATCAGGACAGAAGGCCTTGACGCAGTTGATGGTGTAGAGAGGAAACCAGCAGATTATAAAAAATGCAACGATCCTAGAGAGATTCTGTGTTGCCTTGACATCTCGTCGTTGAGCTGCCCCCAGGAGTCGGAGCATTATCGGCCCCGAAGACGTCTCCTTCATGAGTTTAACTCGACATCTAGATCTTCCTCTGGAAGAGATCGGCCTGATCGGCATCACCTGCTGCAACTGATTTGTCACGTCTTTTTGAGAATAATTTTCATAAATTTGTGTAAACAATAAACATAAACCATAGACAACTGGTGATTAAATTTAATTGAAGGACTAATTACGGATTAGGGGTACCTGTTGTATGACGACGCGGTAGATGTGGGCGTAGAACGCGGCGATGAGGAGTGCTGGAAAGATTATAGTTGCGAAGTACAGGAAGACGAGGTAATTGTAATCCATAACTTCAACAAAAATGCATTTCTCGTCGGTCTTTCTACCGGAGTTCCACCCCAGGAGGGGAAGAAATCCAACTAGAGTACCCGCAATCCAGCACACGCAGATTATCCCTGAAAAATTAATTTTCCTGAAGACAATTAATTCCATAAATTTTTCATTACACGAATTTTCATCTTCACATACTAAGAAAAATATGATAAAAATGCATATTTAATTGAATAAAAAATGTATTGCCTGGGTAACGAGGGAATTACATAGGAATTGCAATTGCAACTGAATTTACCTCTGGGTACGAGTCCAATAAATTTTAATTCCCCCCAGAATTAATTTCCCTCGATTATCGATCAACATCTCACGTTACATGTCATCGGAAGCACCTGTCTCCCCATGGGAAATAAAATGTCACATACCTACAGCTGTTTTGGTGCGTACATTCCTGGAGTATCCCATCGGATACAAAATAGCCCAGTACCTGTCAACGGACACAGCAACAAGACAAAAAATACTGATAGTGCACAGTACAACGAGTACCGATACCGTGAAGAGACAAGCATAAAGATTTCTCGGTAAACCAATGCTAGCTAAAATAGCAAATGGTATAGCAAATAGTCCAACAAGTAGATCAGCAGATGCCAGTGATATGATGTAGTAATTCGTTCTTCTTCTCAATTTTTTATCACGACTGAAAACAGCTATCACCAGACCATTACCCAGAACAGCACAAACAGCAACAACTATTTCACAGATAGCATAGGGTACATTCAGATCAGATCTCGATGAATTATTTCTGATTGATGATTCACTGGTGCTCATGTAGGAACTCATAACTATGAGTTTTCAGTCGTCTCTTTCGTCTCTTAGAGAATTTTTCGATTACCTCCTGGTGGATTGATTGTCCAGGTATTGATAATTGATGACACATTATTAGGGTGTTTATTATTATCCATTAGATGTTAATTAGGATGTTTAATTAAGTGGGATTACGTCGGGGTGGACTTGTCCTGGGGATTTTTTATTTTTTCCGGCATTTTTGGGGTTCACTCCCGGTTTTAATGATGGGGTGAATTTTTATTTCAGGGGGAAATTAATTGGGGTAGGTTTTCGCGGCACGTGGGGGGTTTTTATCGTTCTGGAGGGAGTCTGCTGCTTTACTCTGTCGCGAGATAACTGACACTGGGTTCTCCTGCCGATGGCGAGGGGACGACGCACGTCGCGGGGTGCCTTCCAGAAGAATTTCAATTATTTCGCTGTTTCCATTCGATAAATAAAATTCAATCCACGGAGTACAATCATTTCAATTTTCCACCGGCTCCTGGGGCTGCGGCAATATTTTTTCTGTGGAAAAATAAATAAATAATTGAATTACAGATTTTTTTTTGTATTCAGTTAAAATGGCTGGGGGATTATAAGATTTTCTTTCTAGTATTTTATTCGGAAATTAATTACTGGAATTAGTTACAGTTATAGTTACTGTTGGGTATGCTTACGGGGAGGAGAAATAGGTCATCAAAAAATAGACTCCACGTAGATATTTTTCCTAGATTCAATAGTTCCGATTTTTGGGAATCGATATTTATATCTCATTTCGTTTTCCCCACGAAAATATTTGATACCAAAAGCCAGAGGATCGATTTCAAAAAATTCAGACGAACGATTCAACAATTATTTGTCTAGATCTTCAATCCTGAAACAATAAATAAATTTTTGAATATAAAAATGCTAAAGAATTCCTAAACCAAAACCAAAAATTGATAAAAACCAAAAAAAAAAAATTCATTAATCCCCATTACTCTGGGAATTTCGTGTGGATTAATCGCGGTTTCGCCTCCAGTGGAGACACGAACACTTGCAGCTCATTGTTGTTAACTGGAAAATAGCTGAGGACTAAATTGCTAGCTGAATCAATCGCTGTGCAATTGACAATTTCGAGACGTGTCTTTGAACCGCTCAATCATCGCATTAAATAAATCCCCGAGACGATAAACTCTTTGAGTCGACGAGAAGAATAATGATTAATGAGGATCCAGTGGCTCCAGTGTAGCTAATTAAAACCTGTACCTTCCACCGACACCTGAGGATTGTTGATTTCCCCAATTAACTCACATTTCGAATTTTCAGGAGAATAAAACCACCGGAAGTTGTAGCCCAGAATTATGATACAAAATTGTATTGTCAAATGTACATTTTTATAAAAATATTCGTATCATTAATGAATCAGTGATAATGACTGATTAATTAAAATAATAATGGAAATTCTGTTTGAGTTTCTGTTTTTTTCGATGTGAACAATTACCCTAATTGTCTAATTATCTAGAGAACCAATGACGTCAGAGGAAAATGTCATAAGACTTTTTTTCACTCCATAAGATTCCCAAGAAAAAATGTCTTTTGATTTTTTCCCCTAGACCCAGTGGTTAATGAGAAAATCTCACGATTAAGAAACGAAAATCTTTCGTTCCGCGGTGCATTAATTTCGAAATAATTTCCATCAGTTCCCGGAAAATCCCAGGGTATTGTCAGCAAATCTATTGACATTCGATCTCGTGGTCCAGGGCTCGCAAATAGCCCCAATGATAATATAAAAAATCCATAAACAACTGACAATAAATAAAGATCCAGGAATGCCATAACCGATGATCCGTAAGAGAATAAAACAGATTAAAAAAGCTGTCATAAAATTATAACTAGCAAAAATCCGTAGAGACAGTCTAGGTGGAATAATTTTCTCGGAGCCGCCAGTGAACCCTCCATTCACACGTTTCGGTAATTGCCTGACAGTCGTCGGTGGCTGGATAATCTTCTTCGTCAGACGTCCAACGAAATCCTCTCGATTATAAAAAGTCGTTATTTGTAGATTGTACTGTAACAATTAAAGAATTAATTACCCCAAAAATCGATATAATTAAATAATGAGATATGATTGAAATTATTTATAATTACCTTTGAATTGATGACCTCACACACTCTGTAGAACCATCTGACAAGAATTTCACACTCATTACTCCTGACAGGGAGTAGCTCAGGGTCTCCCATGTACTCGATGTACCTGCAGTGCTGTCTCTCTTCCTGGATGGGTACAAAAACCCCAGGTCTGCTGCCATCAACGCAAGCCCCTTCACACTGGGATTGACAGAATGAATCCGACAGGATGCTGTCATGATACTCTTGATCGGCAACGATAGCCACCTGCAAACATAATTTTCATTAAAATTATCATTAAATTATCCCACTTGTTCCAGAAAAAAAATACTCCAGCACCTGTGACTAATAAAAATATACCTGTGGGATATCCTCGACCTTGATCTGAAAGATTTCGATGATCTGCTGCTGAGAGGTGGCTAAAAATCCAGGAACTCTTTTCCTCTCAGCCAATCCAATATCATCATTGCTGTGCTCCTCGCCGTTGAAGAACTCCCAAATTGTCCTGATGAATTTCTTCTCGGTGTTCCTCTTCTCCAGAGCCTCAACGATACTGGTGGCAGTGAGATGGGCCTGCTTGATGATACTGAGAAACCAGACGATCTGCGAGACAGTTGACTCCGAGAACATGGGTAAATACTGATAAGACGGTCCCTCGAGCTCGAGTATCTGCTGCCTGGCAACAGCACTCCACTGATTGCTGGATATTTTACTCCTGGTGATGTTGTCATCCATGTAGGTCTCAGCCTCAGCTAGCATCTGGGGTAAATAAGGCTGGGAGAAGACTTTGGTCACCCTGAAGAGCATCAGTGCATTCTTGGGTGCAACGAGATCAGTCCTCATGAACCTGGGGAGCAACTGCTGGAATATCGAGGTGTAAGCAAGAAGATTATTCGCCACGAATGACATCCACCTCTGGGGATCATGAATTTTTCCCTTGTCCTCGTCCTCAGGTCTGCCCTGTGGGCTGTAAGACAGCTCAGGAACGTACCTCCAGGGCTGAATGAAACTGAGCCATGCCTCCAGGATCAGGCGGAACGAACTGTCCAGGGGCCAGTGGTGAATGGCCTTCCGGAGGAATGTGTAGATCTTTCCCTGGACCGATGGCAAAATTATTCTCTTCAACTCGTCCATCGCTGATCTGTCACCGATTGCGCTATTTGCAAATTCGTGGAGTGTCTTTATGAAGGCCCTCACCAGACGTATGTGCTCACCAGAGTGAATTGAATGACGACGTGGAAGAGAGGACAGGGTAGATGTCAACGGTTGGGAGGTAATTTTTTCTTCCTCTGTGTACTCCAGCCAGAAGTCCAAAAATACCTGGACAATTGTCTCACTCCGCCACACCTGGGGCAGACACTGCTGCTGAGGCCCTCCCTGAGGATGAGCTGTACTAGGTGACAGGATCATTGATCTCAGGAGTCTAGGAGTCTGAACTCTCTTGGTCTCTGGTGAATGCACGATCTTCCTGGGTGGTGATTTCTTGACGTAAGGCCCAATTATCGGCAGAACCGGTGAATTATCTCTCGGTAAAAAATGATACAAGTACAGATGCGCCAATTGCACGTACACCGTCTCCCAGTTGATCCACACGTTCTCCAACAGCTGGAGCTGGAGCCAGGGATTGGTCAGGTGATAGGCAAAATGAAAGATGTAGTACTCGAATGGATTCATCGATAAAGCTGACGGCATTCGACTGTTGTGCTCGTCCTTGAGCTTGTCGGAATAAAATGGGGGAACAATTCCATCCTCGAGCATCACCTGGATCTTGGTGGGCAGGTATGACACTGGAAAATCATATTTCAGGTAGCAATCTGGAAGGAGTTTGTAGCAGAGGGAAAATATGGGACCCTGTGGGCCCAGAAAGTTGCTCAACACCTCGTACTCCTGGGGATGCTTTCGGAGATTAATCGTGTGGAGGCCCCACCCTGTGTTGCTTGACAATCCGAATATCGAGTCGATCAGCTGGGGGAAGACATTCTGCAATTCCGTTGTACTCGACTCGTCAATCAGGACTGCCAGCTCTCTGCATCTCTCTGACAGCGGCAGACTCAGGTACGCACGCATCCGGACCTGATCAGGCATTCTCATTAATTTTATTAAGTGACAAGTCTCCACAGGAAATTAATTGTCGATATTTTTAGTCTAGGCTTTTTAAATAATTGAGGAATTATTGCTGCGGGTGTCAGGTTAGAATTCCTGGTGATTGCTGTCGACAATTTAATTTGAATACGATTTAATTACCGTAGCTACGTCCGTTGGTGCTGGCATGGCTGCTGGAATGATTTACTCCTCGGAGATGATGAAAAATGGAGGTCTGACTCCCTAGGATCAGGATGACCCGGAGACATGGAGTCCCTGGAGATGTTTGGAATGGCACCAAGGATTGACTAAAGTAGAGGGTCTTCTGGGGGTTTGAGTAACACTACCGGCATTGTACCGCACCCCAAGAGAGAGAGGGCGCCATACGCAATGCTGGGGTGTCATCTTGTGGAATTTCAAATAAATAAATTATTCAATATGTTGAATATATACTACTAATGAAAATATATTATTGCAAAGAGTGCGTTGTCTGCTTGGTAACATGCTTGACTAGCACGCCGATGGCCCGAGTTCGATCCCGGCGTCATTAATTTTTTTTTTTTCAAAATAATTCTAATTTTTGTTTTTTGTTAATGACTAATTAATGGAAATATCGTTTATAAACTGAATATTTGAAAATCGGAAAGATATCCAGCGAAATTGCAAGATTTGAAATGTTTTATAACAATAACTTTTCAATATATATACTCCTAATGAAATTAAATTATTGTAATAATGCGTTATCCTAGCGGTAACGTGCTTGCCTATCACGCCGACGGCCCGGGTTCGATCCCGCCGTCAATCATTTTTTTTTTTTAATAATTGCAATTTTTTCTTTTGTAACTGGCTAATAAATCGAATTAATGGTTAAAAACTGAATAGCTCCTCGATTGTCATGTTCCCCTGATACTTTTACAAAAATTTCGAATTTTTCACTTGCAGTGAAAATTTCAGTGAATAGCTCCTTGATTGTCATGTTCCCCTGATACTTCTTCAAAAATTTCGAATTT